AAGAAAGAAAAATAAAGAACGATTGAAATAAATCACATGAATAAATTAACACGATCTAAAAAGGCTTGCAATCAAGCAACTCAAAATCAATTTCTCTACATTGTTGTATATCCCATATAAATCATGTTCTGGTTACGTAATATGTCTCTGCTGTGTATATGTAGAATGCTACTTAGATTGCCTGAGGCTGATTTTTCGAAAGTCTTTCTGATCGTGTTATTTGATTAATCAGAATACTCGATACGAAATTTAAGATAATTCATTAAATGTTATGTATCATTGATTGAGTTCTATATATGAGTATATATCTGAAGATCAATGTATATATCAATTTTGAGATTTTGGAGAGTCAGTAAACCATTGTTTATGTAGAAAAGGTGATCCTGCAACTGTTCTAGGCGAAATTCTGTCAATGTTATAGGATAAGAGTGAGAGTTGCAGACGAGTTTTAGGTTAAAGCCCGTCTGTACTAGTTTGGCCAGGGGGATTAGATCTCCCTGCGAGGTCACTGACAGGTGGTTATCTCATCAAATCAGCTCTCAATAAACATAAGAAAAAGAGGATCATGGGAGACCAACAGGCACCAATAAGGCATTGTTTGCTATATAGAGGGCGCCGTAGCTATAAGTAGTGCAGTAGGGCTTTAAAGGATATACATGTGTAGGGTTAGGGTTAGGTATAGTTTTTGGTCAAGGTCAGAGGTAAGAGATTTAATTGTTGATTGGTCAAGGAGAAATCGTCACTGGAACAGGTGCCGTATACGGTAAGGGAACATTATGGGAAAGGGTATTCACATCTAGTTGGAGTGTCGTGGTCGAGTGGTTTAAGGTGCTGGACTGGAGATGCAAAGGTCGAGGGTTCGAATCCTGACACGGCACTAATATTGTTTGGCAATACATTAACCTACACTTGCTATTCTCCACTCAGGTGTTAAAATGGTTACCTGGTTGGATGCTACCGTCATTGTTGGTCACACAGTTTTTAAGCGACAAGTCACGCCCGGCTGGAATGCTACCCAGGGAGTGGAGATTGTGCACCCAGTATGTGCAGGCAAGCACTGAATCCAATGACCGAGGTCATAGTATATTTGTAAAGCGCTTAGAGAGATCCGAGATGTATTAACCGCTATATAAAAGCTGAATAATATTGCTATTAGAGTAACTTCATATCTACTAATGATAAACTAACGTTTCTAGTAATGGTACATAAACAAAACACATGAAAGATTAAGAAAGCTTTAACATTTGATGTGGAAGAAAGATTACTGGAATAGAAATATTGACCCAGATGACGCACGTTTATGGTCTGTTAAGCGGGTGTTTCGACGTAGTACTACATCTTCAGTGAATGAACAGTTTCTGAGAACAGGATTATTAACGCCTTTGCATGATTGCCCAAGTATTTGCGCGGCCGAAATCTAAAATGGCGCAACTGGAAGAGAATACGCTGTTTGATACACGATAGTTTCTTAGCTACAAACATCTCCGTCGACTGAATCGCCCCTGTCAACAGTTCTGAGAAAGAGAGTTGCGAAAAGAAAGTGACACTTTGACGAAAAGCCCATACCTTCCTTTCTAACTCTGAGTGTGACGAATCACGGTCTTTATTAAAGTTTGCCTAGAGCGGCCTAAAACCGTCCTCTGCCTGATCGAAGAATCGATAGATCGATCGATAATAAACAGGAGTGTGGCGCGCGTGCCGTAAAAGGCCATTTTCAAACACAGTTGGTTAATTGATTTACGCAACGCGCCGTGCGCACCTGCAATGTTCTTCAATCTTTCAACCGCACACTTCCTCCTTTAATAAAATACGATGGAGTTCCTTGAAAACTTCGTTAATTATGAAATCGATCTGTCATATGTCATCAGACAAAAAAAGACATTTGGCCACTGACTCGATGACCATATTATGAATCATTCAGTGGTCTAATTAGTACTTGGTCTGCGTGAATCATTACTGGGTAGATCTTCTTGCAGTGGTGGAAGCAGTGAAGCCGCCTGTGCTTGGGATTCTCAGCCGGATCTACAAGGATAAGAGCTTTGAACAGGTGGCCATTGATTTAACGCGTGCAGGGATGGCCATTACCGGTGGCAATGGTGGAAGGGACCCACGCCGGTAGTATCGGGTGATAGAGTAGCCGGGTAGAGGGGGTGACGGGGGCGAACATACGATACGAAAAAGTCTGGTTTGAAATACACGTGATATGCACTGTAAGAGCAGGCTGGGGCCTGTATTTTCACGCGAAAGTGAATTTAAAAAAAGTAAGACTTTTGAAAATAAAACTGTAATGATGTGGTGACTATAATTGTTATAAGGAAAGTTGATGATAAGAAGGAAGACATGTACAAAAGAAACGTGTGTGTGTTTGTAAGAGAGAGGGAGAGGGAGAGAGAGAGAGAGAGAGAGAGAAAATGAGAACGGAAGCATATTTTCTATTGCTTTTCACTTCCTCAGACAGCATTTGATTGAAAAGTATGTTACAATATGAATTATTCTTCGCATATTTGCATCGAATTTAATCAACAATACCATGCCCTTCACGTACCACAAATTCAATCGATCATGCGGTATCAATATTACTACTGCAAGGCCATGTGTTTATATGACATGGCAAATTGAATTATTGAAGGAGAATTGTAAACAGTTATTCTTGGAGTTGTGAAACGGGGTGTACGTGTTTCAGAGAAGTTTTTTATACACTTATTTTACCGATGTGTTTTCTCCAAATGTATCGACTTTGGCTGAATAAATTTAACCTCGGTAATAATTCTTTCACGATTGACTTGGAAGAGGTTGGAAGAGGTACTGTCACGTATTGAGTAGAGGAGATGAGAGGAATTATACACTGTCCAATTCGTGGTCATTGAATTGATATATATATATATATTTCGAGTAAAAGTCGATAAGTAGAGGCGGGCATTTTATGGATTACTATGAATTTCGTAGAAAAGAAATGCCACAGCTTCTGCTGTTATACTGCTGCTATTGTAAACACAGATTCTTCTCCAGAACTTTAATATCATTCTCTCTAAAATTGTAGTAAAATCAACTGGAATGAATCAATGGTACAAGATATATGGTTTTGATGATGGGAATAATGAAAACGATGATGACGCTGATGATGAGATTACTAACAAAAACAGATGGAGATGTTGATGATGACAGTGATGAAGATGATGATTATGATAATGGCGATAAAAATGATGATGATGATGATGATGATGATGATGATGATGATATTTATGATAATAATGATGATGACAATGATGGGGTGTTAGTATTAATAACTAAAGTAGAAATGGCAGGTACAAGTCCAAAAGGCAATCATTATACATGTAGGTATGTCCATGCATAATTATATTGACGCAGGTTATGAATAACACTGAATAACACTTTAAAACACAAGAAAAGACCTCCCAATTTTTCGCGCGTAATGAACTAATTGAAGAGAAGTTTGAAGTCCTTTCTTCTCATGGACTCGCTTGTGAATGATTGACACGTGTGAGGCAGACCAATAATGAACATAACCCGTCAATAAAACTGTCGCCAATGACTCTGAGAAAATGTCAAGGTCAAATAAATTAAACGCATCAGTCATATACAATAGGATATCGATTGAGGCCTACAATATCTATCCGCCATTATATCTCTTGTTATTTATTAGATTCAGTAGGTTGACATAAACGGCGACACACAGCAATACCCTTAGCTAAAGCAATGTCCAAGGTATAAGAATATATTTCCCAACAGTTCAAGAGTTCGTTGCCCGCATATTCACGCTTTTTCATGTTTTTTTGCCGAACATTGTCGGGAAGACGTGTTGTTCATTTTTGGGGTGCAAATGAGTCATACATTATTGAAGGACATTTTCTTTTTCTTCATGGCCTTTTGCAAATTATCTAACACAAGAGTAAATTTTTCACGAAATTGTGTGTTCACGTTTGAATGGTTGTTAATCATGTTATGAATAATAGTAGGAGCTGTATTGCAGACTGCTAGAGTATATGCAATACATGCATAGTTGTGATGTGTTTGCATGATTGCAAAGGTAACGGCATTTGTTTTTGTTTCAAAAACTCTGCATAGAAATGCTATTGTCAATCAAAGTTTCTGACTAAATTCTAAATTTAACAAGCTGAAAATTCTAGTCAGACACAAATAAAATCCTCGACATATATATCACTAATTAGGATAACAACCACTAGTTTAGGGAATTGTTTGTTCAATGTCATAAAGCTAATTATTATGTAGGCCACTACTCATGTATATCCCGGTCACACATTAGCATTCATCAGCTTGAACCGAGTTATACAATTAGTGTCAAAATTGAAATGGATAGTGTTTCACCCGAAGAAGTTTCATTAAAACCCCTGTCCGCTAAGTATTCATTATCAATCCAATCATACTGTCTCCACTTGTGTATATTCGGAACAGTAGATTGATATTACTATTTGGACCTCGTTCTGCTGGTATTTCCAGATTATTTGAGTGTTTCTCGACTATGTACACACACACAATTACAAACTAGTCTCCAGTCCTTAAATTACGCCCTCTCACACTATGAATATGACGGACAAAGAAAGAGGACAAAATATACAGTTCCTCAGGTAGATAAAGGAACATGTGTAGAACAGGTGTCACATGCATATTCACCTGTTTTACTCATATTTACATAATAGCAGTGAAGGGATGTTCCTTTGTCTACCTGAGGAACTGTATATTTTGTCCTCTTTCTTTGTCCGTCATATTCATAGTGTCATTTATCTTCATTTGTAATCACTGTATTTACTGAGGAAACGTCGCAAAAAAAAAGGGATGTTAAAAACGGAGGGAGAGAATCAAAGACTCCATATATTCAAAAAAGATAAATTTCTTTTCCGTCTTTTCAATTCGATTAATACCTATTGTATTCATAATCTAGACAAAATCATAGTTGAATAATTGCCACTTCTTCAAAATCCGAATACGCGGAGGTGTTTTTCTCAACTCTCCATCTCTTC